ACAGCACAGGGTAGAGAGACTGCTCTGAAACAATGAAACAAATCCTCCCTTACATCACTGCATTTTCCCCTTTCCATGGTTTTAAGAAAGCTCTCTAGAATGAGCCAAGGATGCTCAAATAGTATTTGCTTTTGAGATTGATAATCCAATTTTCCTACAGAGCCTTCTTTAAGAGGTATGGTCCCGGACAGCAAAACAGACTTAAGTATTCCCAGGACAAGGCTAATTGGAAATCCAGACTGATTTTCAATTAAAGACAGATTTTCCAAGGCTCTCAGACCCTGCATTTGCCTGGAGACCTTTCTGGATCACAGCTGCAAATGCAGCTCTGAGTGGTGGGTGAGCCTGCGAAGGGCAGCAGCTGAGGGAGCACATGGGACTGCAGGTTAATAAACCTGGTCCTGTGCTGTAGCAAGGCTTGGATACATCTACACCTCCCACCCAAACTCACTCACGACTTGCTAATACTCACACACTCCTATGTCCATGCTGACCTTTAAACAGTGTATTTTTCATTCCAAAGTGTTTACTCGTGATCTATTTCTGGAGAAGAGCCACAGGTTCCCTCAGCACACACTTTGCTCAGCTAAATGAGCCCCTTTCTTCATGTTTGCCTCCATGAGAACATTTTGTAAAAAAAACAGATCACCCCAGCCCATTTCTTTCTACCTGGTCCAAAGGGAATATTTTTTTGACCAGGACACAGGATTTGTGATTCCACATCACTTCCTACCACTTCCATGTGGCACCAATACTTTTTTGTTTCTACTGGAAATACCTCTCCCAACACAGCCTCAAAATGCATTTGCTTTTTTCATGGTTGAGGAAAAATCCACTTTTGTGGTTTACAATCATTCTGAGATTGAATACTGCCCCGCAGCCTTTACCACCACCTTTCCAACATTCTCCTCTCAACATAGTATATATTAGGATGCATATATAGTGTGTATGTTACATATAAACTGCAGTTTGTATATTTTTATTTAAAAAACACACGTGCCTTCCATTTGTGGAGAACTGCACTTCCATTTGTGGAAAACTGCATTTAATCCCATTTATTTTGTCCCAGCCCTCAAGGTCATCCACTTTTTCCTGGATGATATCCCAAACTTCCTCTGTCAGGACAATGCCTCTCAGCATCATGGCATCAGCAAATTTTAACTTCATGAGCAAACTGCTAAGATTTGTGCCAAAACCCTTTCTGAAAATTAAAAAATACCAGTTTTTAAGGATGAGAGCTGAAGGTCCCTGCTTGCAACCCCATCTCAGCCAACCCAGCCATTGCCACCTCTCTCAAAGCCAGCCCCTGCTCACTTTCCAATTTCCTTACTAACCCCCATCTTCTTGTCTTAATAGATCCCTGCATGGACTGTATCAAATCTTCACTCAAGTCCAAAGAGATGAAATTCTACTGAATTTCCTTGGGGTAGAAAATCAGTTATCTTATCAAAAAAGTTATTAGATTAGCCTGGCAAGATCTATCTTTAGAAAATCTGTGTCACATTTTATCCCATTTTTCCCTCAACAACATGTCTTTAATCAGTCTTTGCTTGAAAAAACATTCAGAAGCCTTGCACTAGCAGCCTGGAATTTTCCTTGGATCATTTCTCATCCTTTTCAAATGCTGGGCATTACTATTATTAATCCTTAGAGTTATGGCATCACTCCAGGCTTCGTTAAAAATACTTCCCTCTGACCCTCTGATTTTGTGAGGCAGCTTTTTCTCATCGTTGGGATAGAGATTATCTGGTCATCCTGATTTGAGTGCATTAAGATGCATAATTTTTTCTTTTATTATTGTTTTCCAATTTTCATAACCTTGTTGCTATTCTTTGTTTTTCCAATAGGATTTTCTTCCCCCAAAAAACAGGAAAAGTATTCACTTAAGATCCTGGGTGATGGCCTCTGTTGGCACTGATGCCACCTCAAGTGACTATATCCAGCTGCCTCAGGTGGCCCATAGGGCCTGGGTATAGGTGAGGCTTTATTTAGGTGTGTTGTCCCGCTATGAAAATATCCTGGACACAACTTGGGTTTCCATCTCAGCGAGCTGTTGTGCATCCAGCACTCTACCCATCTGTGAAATCTATCTCTTTGCAAAAGGTGGTCCGGAGGAAGGTGAACCCCTACATCCCTGCTCATCTCCCAAAGCTGGCAAGAGGGAAGAAACTTGCTGGCACATCTGTTGCTGTAAAATGAAAAGAGAACAGGAAGGAGACAGGCAGATCCTGACTGATTCCAGCTTACCTCACTCCTCTACTCAGAGGCGGAGCAGCTCCTCTTTCAGGAGAGGAAATCATTGCAAGAAATTAAGGCGACGGGGTTTTTTAAATGGCTCAGAAAAAGGGCAAAAGAGAGGAATGAAAGGCAGGAAGAAGCAGGGATGATTTACAAAGCCACAAAATAGGAACCTCGCTGCTGGAGAATGTGATTGTGCTGGCAAGTGTCACATGGATTTGCGGGGAGACCTCCGTGCTGTAGTTCAGATAAGAGGCTGAACATCTGGGTTTTATCCAAACTGATCCTGAACTTCATAGCCTTTGAGATTCTGCCAACTCTCTCCCCATATGCATATTTTTCCAGTGTGGAAGCTGATTTTGCTTTATGCACTTGCCATGACAGGTTGTGAACCAACACCATGGAATGATGCAGTATCACCTGGGCCCACGGGAACTTTTGGGTTCAGGTCTCTGTGTTTTAGGGACTAAAGAAGACTGCTACAAAAAGCCTAGAAATTGAACCATTTTCAAGGTTCTACTTAATAAACCTTTCGCATAGAAGTCACAAAATTTATCAAGCTAACTGCATTTAAAATCCTCCAGCTTCCATCCGTCATGCAGCTTACTTGAAAAGCCATCCCTTGCAAAGTTGTTGTATTCTCTCCCACAGTGTTAGAATTTATGGAATTGATGCTCCTTGAGGAGTCAAGAGTTGGAAAGGTACCCTCCCTAATGGGGAGGAGTGAAGGGTTGGTGTTTGGCTTATGAAAGTCAGAAGTGCTGAGGGTCTGCTGAATACAAATAAAAAATTACAGGCTGCAAAGTTCCAAATTAACATCCTGATGACTCACATTATTCTTCAGAAAAGCTCAGTCTTCCCTTTGATCTCAGGATTACAGGCAGCCAGGGTCTTATTTGCAGCTACTCAAAGAACCTGCTGCACTACACCAGCATAGGCACAGACCTCAAAATAAAACCCAAGGTACACGAACACTCATCTGCCAGCACAGCAGAGAGATTATCATTTTGGGACATCAATAGATGAATCTAGCCCCTGCAGTCAAATACAGGCACACTGCAAAGGCTGGTCTCTCTGAATCTAGAATTTGTCACAGGAATAGCTTTCCCTTTTCATTCTCTTCTGATTAATCTCAGGCTGTGCTCTTGAGGCTCGTTCCCACTTTTAAGACAAGCAGGACAACAACAATCATTTATATTCTTTATGAAATGAATTCTTGCTGGCAACTTTAAACTAAGTGCTGGTTCACTCCCCATAATTAATACATTCTTCTGCAGTATAATACAACTCTCCGCAAGTTCAAATAATTCTGAAACTTCCTAATAAAAACTAAAATTGTGTAACAGTTGATGAGATTTTTTATATGTATGTGTATACACACACACACAGAGTCAAAATAAAACTTTAGGTCACATATTGTGGCGCTTTTTAATTATTTTTTACTAAAATACAGGTATTTTACCGTATCTACCTTAATTTTTAGGACAGAGCACATACAATAGAAACATTACTGCCTCATCTGCAATCCTACCTAAATACTTGGAGAGCTATTAAATTAATTGTGCCTTTTCAGAACCAAGTGCCAGGCCTTCAGACTGTGTGCAGTACCTACAAGTCCTGACATTTCAGCAGGGACACAGAATCTAGCACTTCTGGAAATGAGGGCCATGGTGGGCACCCAAAAGGGAAGCAATTACAGCCAATATTTGAAATCTGAAATGCTCATGATCTGGCTTTTGAAATTCCATATATTTCATCAATTAAATATTGAATTGCTGTGACTATAAAAAGCCTATGTGGATCTGGAAGTAAAGTATTATACTCTCTGGTGAAAGAGCATGTCAAGGCCAGAGACAACAGAAGGCAGCTGCTCTCATGCAGGCTGTCACAAATAATCATGTAAATCAGCCCTCTTCTTTCTGTGTTGCAGGAAAGAATGCATCTACTGCTGTATCAAGAGGCAGACTGCTGAGAACTGGGGTTTTGGTACAAATTTGTGAAGCAATAGCAGTGAATCATTTCTGCTTTGGCAAATTCAGAATGCCTTTTCATACGAACATCAAACCCCAACATATTCTTGACTCCAGACCAGTCCTAGGACGTACTTTTATCCAAGTACATAATAATAAGGCAAAACAGACACTAAAAACATATCCTGGCAATAAATACTTTAAGACTTCATTAGAAAACCAAAAGGTCACATCTGATACAGGAAAAAGTCAAATTATCTAGGCTGACATTTACAAGTAATTTGAACTGACATTAGCATGAAAAATACAATTTTACTGTAAGAAGTAGTCTTACCTCTAAGTTTAAATGTGCCCTTTAAGCATTAATGCTGAAAACAAAGCCCTGAAAAATATCTGCAGCCGTGCCAATTACATCTCAGTATTTCATAGCAAAGCAAGGTGAATCAGACAATTAGCAGAAGGCTTCAGCCCCCCATTAGCAAGCAGACCCTAATAGGAAGAGGGAATAAAAAACCAGAACACCACCGTGTAAGCTCTGATGAGCAGATTAGGGGCTCAATACAGCTGGGAGACAGTCAGGCACCCATTACCATGCAACCAGCTTATCCACGGATGCCAGCAAATACCGGGAGCTGATTTTGCAACGCACACAGCGAGAGAGCCGGAGCATCCCTGCGCCTCCCCAGGCAACAACAGAGCCCCGTGCCCGCCCGCTGCTCCCCAGCAAAGGGAGACACGTTCTGCACAAAGCAGCCCATCTACAGCCCGTGGATCAGCATTCCCTGGACTTACTTTAACTGTCGAGGCTCGCAGTCAACTCCCGGCAGCAGGAGCCTGGCCGCCTGCCGTACGTCATCGCTGTCCACCGAGAAACTGCGCCGGTGCCCCGCGTGAGCCACCGCCACCCGAATCCACTCCATCAGCGGAGGCAGCACGATGAACGGCCTGGGGAGCACACAAACATCAGTGCCAAGGCACACCAGCATCACGGTAACAGGTAGAGAGAGGCAGAGAGCAGGGGGGTGCGGGTGTGTGCGTGTGCATATATGTGTGAGAATATAAATATATACAGAGAGGAGGGAGCAAGGATAACGAAAGAACGGGAGAGCAAACCAGCTCAGCAATTTTCAAATAGGTCTAAATCAAGATGTCTCATCCTGTCTCCAGGGCAGGACTATTTGGAGGGTGAGATTTATGAGCCATGCTCATCCATGGGGCTCTGTGAGGTCAGTGCACCCAACTGGCAAGCCCTCCTCCCATCCCTTGGAGTGTAATCCCAAAAGGAGGACAGGAGTCTGGCACAGGACCATGTCCTGCTCTGGCTGACACGCTGACCTGGGTTTGCTCCCTCGTCTCTTCACAACAGGGATGTGAGAAAAGACCTGGGCAGAGAGAGGGGATGCCCCAACACCCCAACACTGAGATGGAGAGGAGGGAGAGGGAATGCCCCAGGAAGTCTCCAGCATCTCCTGCCGATGCAATGGGCACTTTGTGCTCAGTGATGAAAGTGGGGACTTTGCAGCCATTGTGAAGGTCAGCTGTGAGCGAGGCCAGAAATCAGAAACCAGACTGCTTGGTCTGACTTTCACGGTATCAAACTGCTACACCTTCGGGTGCCAGCTGTTCTGCCAACTGTGCAAAAACATACAAAACTGGCCCCAAAAGTGAATGCTGGGATTCTGGGCCATGCCCCCATATCAGAGAATTGGTCCTTCACTCCTGGACAGCCCCATGTCCCAGCAAGAGCTGCCCAAGCTGTAGATGAAGCATGCAGCACACAGTTCACTCCATCTATGCTAAGAATTATTTGGGAACCAAGAGAAAGATGCCAAACCATGAGTAAAAAACCATAGCTTCAAGTCCTGTTTCGGAGGAAAACTAAGACAGTAACTGCAGCTGAACACACTGAAGGTCACTGCAAGTCTCTTGCTTGCCTTTCCTTCTGTGGTCCCCTTTTCATGGAGGAAGGGAAGAAGTCTGCATTAGGTGCAGAGTAGGCAAATATTTTACATTTTAAATGTACAACTTTACCTCAAGGGGATCTACCCTGAGAAAAATTATTTAAGAAGATGTTGACTCTGGAATATCCTTTTCCTATTTATAGCTCTTTATGCATTTATTTCCCTTTTTGAGGACTTGGCTTTACATAGCTCTGACATTAATATTCTTGAGGGGGGATGAGATACTTCAGAAGTGCCGAAGGACAGAGAAGCCCTGAGGCCACTAACTCTCCCTAGGACACTGGGTTCCCAAATCTCACAGGCACGTAAATGAACAACCTCTTTTTGAAATATGACATCTTTGGCCGAGTTGCCACTTCCATCGTTTTTTCTATTCCAACACATCACCGTCACCTCAAGACCAGGCTGCATTTGTTTCCAAGGCTTTTGCTCCCCCCAGACCTGCCAGGGCCACAGAAGGAGGGAGATAAGGACAGAAGATCATCTCCCACAGCTCACGAGAAACAATTTCCTAACCCAGCTCATTTGTCATGAGGGTGGTGGAAGCCAGAACAGAGAAAGGGTGGAAGCAGGGGTGTATTTGTTCCTGGAAGGTGACTGCTTCCCAAGCCATCTCCAGAGCAGAAGGGACCCTCTTTTGAGGCATGAAATACCTGGGAACAAGTGGGAGTTTTTTCATCACTTGCTGAGCAAAGAGCAGAAAAGGAGCTGCAAACCACACTGCAAAACTGCATGTAGTTACAGAGATAACTTGGTTCTAGGGAATACAATTAAAGGAAAACTCAGTTCGAGGTTATGTTTTGCATGAGTGAACACAGTTTGGATCAGAGAAATGAAGACAGGCTTGTACAGGGCCTTCCTGTAACATCTGCTGGGCAAACAGAAAAGCAGAGAGCTGTGGCTGAACAGGGGGCTCAGAGGTTCACACTTTCCTCCTCTAGTGCAGGATAGAAACTCACCCAGCACAAAATCTGCCCCACCACATTAAGGAGCAGAGAAAATGAAAATATTTACAGGAACTCAGATAACTGCACTATAAAACTGCTGCTTTTTTTTTTTTCCCCCCAGTCTTGCAAATTTCAACAGAGAAATAGAAATGAGCATGGATATTTGGTGCAATAAATCCCAAGAGGGAAGAGAATCAGTGTTCTGCAGAAGCGGGAAAATTTTCTATAAAGCCCAATTTCAGTTTGTAGATGAGGATATGGAGTTTGCTCACAACATATTACGTTCCTTTTTCCAAGGAAAAGGGGGAAAAAAAAAATCATCACTGCCTATCTCAGCATGTCAGGAAATTTGTATTTTGAGAAGAGAACCAAATATGGCTGTGTGCAATAGGTTAAAAATACCCTTCGAGAATCTGTGCACCATGTGAAGGGTTGGGTTTTTCCTTTTAAATACTGTTTGTGTGCCAAAGAGGAAAGAGGAGCACAGAGTTATAAGGGTGTGATAATCCACAAGACAATGTGACATCAGCAAGAAATATTTCACTTTTCGAGCAGCACTGTGTGAAAATGGGTTAGCCAAATGCATCACATCACTGGCATATACACTGATTTATCTCTGGTACAAAGGCAGGTACAAACCAGGAGAATTCAGTAATTTTGTATTTGAGAGCAGACACACAGCAGATAAATCACCTAGTTACAAGATTTGGAAGCACATGCGTTAATTAAACTAATCTAACCATGGTGCTGGGCTCGATTCTGCCTGAAGGATATGGGAAATCAGGAGCAGCTCAGCTGCTGCACAAGCACCCTGCCTGGGCTGCAGGTGAGTGAGTGCTCTGACCTCCTCCTCCAGCTTTTCTCTGTACCTGTGCTTAACTTTAAATGCACGCTTCCATCCTCTAATTCCGTGCGGTTTAAAGTAAAGTACAGACTTCAGTTTAAAAAAAAAAAAAAAAAAAGGAAAAAAAAAAAGTTTTTTGGCACAGACTTGTATTTTCCTGAGCTCACATCTAAATGGAAAAATATGCCAGATCAGGATGCAGGGAGAGGTCTCTGCACAGAGCAACTCCCATCCCACACACAAGAGCTGGGAGGTGGGGGAGGGCTGGGGGAGGCCAACACAGAGCAGATCCCCAAAGGGTTGGACCTTTTGGGCCCTGTCCCCCTGCCCTTGGCAAGGGGGTAGCTGGCTCCTCTTGGGACATGCCTTCTCCTGTGTCATCAGAAAAGGCAATTATGTGCCTTTATTATTATGTTGTGCCCCACCAACCCTCACAACTCTGGTTCCTCCTCCCAGGCAGCATCCATCCCTGTTCCCTCCTCCTGCCATCCAGCACTCCTCACATCTATTTTTGGACAGCTCAAGGTCCCATAAACTCCTATGCCTTGAAGACATCTGCAGGTAGCAACACCCTGCTGGCCCTGCCCCACAAGAGACAATTCCTCACTGTCCTGGCTGTCAAAGATCCTTCTCCCCACTGCCTTCACACTCAGCAGCTCCCTGCCAGCACCCGCCCTCCAGAGTGGGGCAAACGACCCTTCCCTACCCCATCAGACCTCAAACTTTTCTCAGTTTTGTGGGGCTGATGTCACTGGAGCACTCAATTACAGAATGACTCATCAGAAAAGCAGATGTTATTGAGGGGGGAACATAAATGTAACGAAATGAGGGGTTCCCTAAAGCCTGCACTCCCTCCAGAGCCACACACAACCTTCCTGGGCTGCCCACCACCCCCCCTCCCTTGCTTGCCAGCACACAGAGATATTAAAACTCCTGTCATGCATATGCAATAACTCAGGCTTTTCCATTATTATTTGCAGTAGTAGTAGTACTGTTATTGTTATTGTTGTTATGGTAGCAGTCTACCTGTATATTAACAGGAGAAATTGTCAGGTGAAAGACCATGAGAAATTGTGCACCATAAAATGCAATAGGATGCTTCATTATTTTTGCATGGGTCTGTGAGAAGATAGATGAAGCTCCTGTCTGGACACCACCTGCTGCAATGCCGGATTTGCAAAGCACTAGGGCCAGCACTCTGTCAAATTCCGACTCCAAATAATCCCTGGCCCTGGTTTTTCACAGGCCCTACCATCACTGCAGGGTGCAGAATCCCTGCTGGCTGCTGACCAGCTTCACAGTCCACCTTCTGCCCAGAGCAGGACCACTATAAACAACCACTCTCTCCTGGATTTCCAGCAGCTGGAGTTCTTCCCCTCTGCTGCTCCCTCTCCCCTACAAGTATTAAGAACACTCATCACCTCTGAATGTTCCTCACACAGGCTCACAAACCCTGGATGGGGCACCAGCCCCCTGTTCCCAGCACAGCCTACTGGGAGTGTGCTCCAGGTCCCAGAGCTCATCAGTACACATGAGATTTCTAGACAATCACAGTGCTCCAAGGGAAAAAAATCATCATTTCAAGTGCAGCACAACATCCTCTTTATTTCCAGGGGCACTTCACCCTGCTCTTCTGCAGAGCACTCTTCCACTGCTCTACCTATGGAGCCCTTGCCCCACCACATGCACTCATTCACTGCCTGTATTAATCAAACCTCAGGGGGAGGACTGGCTTGACAGCCACAATGAGAAGAGAGAAATTCCCAAGGCATAATCCTACTCGGATGTGAATTCCCACAGCTGTCTCTCTCCCTTTGTCCCTCCCTCGGCTTCCCCAGCTGTGGAGTGGACTCAGCTGAAGGACCCAACCCTGCATTAACTTGGTTCAATTGCTACAATTGCTCCAGATGATGTGTTTGCAGGATTTGGTTGCTGAGGAGGGTGGTGGTGGTGTAGGTGTGGAGTTTCTTCTCTCACTCCAGCCAAGGATTGCTGACTGCCAACCTCTGTGGCAATGACAGGCAGATTGGTACACAGAGGTTGCTGCTGTTTAAATTTGCAAAAGCTACCAAGTAAGAGTTAAAGGTGCTTCTCAGCAGTATAAGGCTGTACTTTTACACAAAAAAGCCTTTCTAGATAAAGATAGGAAGATGTTTTTTCTTGCAGATGTGAGTCAGCAACTTTAACATTGTA